GGATATATTATGGCTCCTCTGCATATATTACATTCCTAAAAACCAAGCATTTGTTATAATTCATGAAAAAAACCTACAATAAAATTTGAAGGGAGGTAGAAAACAAAGAGAGGAGGCTTTGTCCCCAATATGAAAGCTACGTAAAATTTCACACTTATATGCTTAACAACCCTGGAGTTATTTCATACCACCACCATCCCCATTTCCTAGAGAGCTTTCATACTGTTTTCATAGTTCCTCAGTAAGGAAAAAGTACCTCCCGGTCATTTCTTTCTTGGCATCACTTCATACAAAAAAGCTAGACTCAGTATACATGTAAAAAGACATTCAATACAGCAGTCTTTGGAAACTTAATGACTATCAATAAAGGACCGGTAAAATAAATGACAGAACATCTAGACAATGACATATCCTGCAGAATATCATGGAGCTATCAAACAGCATGAGGTAGATCATTGCTACATATTTACACATTGCAATGACTCCAGGATATGTAGTTAAAAGAAAGCAAGAAGTGGAACAGATTTCCTACAGAATAGATAAGTGGGCCTCTGAAAAACTAGGAGTTACTGGAGGAGGGAGATTTATTTTCTCTTTATACATTCTTGTATTACTTAAATTTTTCGCCGTATGTATTAAACTTTCAAAAAAGAAATCGTGTGTGTTTATGTACACACGCACACACACATACACACACACACTCTTTTAAAACAAAAGCTATCCAGAGGAAGTACAGGCAAAAGAAAAGAGGAAGGGCGAAGCCTGGCTCACTCTACACACCCGACTCATGGCTTCCTGCACCATAACCTAGCAGACTTGAGTTTCGTGATTTCCCAATCTTAACAGCATTGTACTTTCTTTAGAGAGGACAGACATCAATGACTGGAGAGGACACAGTAAGGACCCCTCATATCAAAAATGCAGGCCGGGCGCGGTGGCTCACGCCTGTAATCCTAGCACTCTGGGAGGCCGAGGCGGGTGGATCGCTCATGGTCAGGAGTTCGAGACCAGCCTGAGCAAGAGCAAGACCCCGTCTCTACTGAAAATAGAAAGAAATTATCTGGACAACTAAAAATATACATATAGAAAAAGTTAGCCGGGCATGGTGG